GGAGTGTCTGAGACCTCCAGGAAAAATGAAGGAGGTTTTCCAGGAGGAGAAGCTCCTCCAAGAGCTGTTCCAGCAGCACTTGGCTCCTGGTGAGGCCTCTGGGAGGCCGTGGGGTCAAACCCAGCCCAGCCCTCCACCAGCCCGGCCACGGGAGCCTTCCCCTCAGGGGGGTGCTGCCCAGAGAGGGGGTTTTGTCTGGTTGGTGGTTTCTTTTTACCTGCCAGGCCTCTCTGCGAGCCTGTATGAGCCGCTGGAGCTCCACGATCCTGCCCCTGCCCGCCAGCACGGACTCTGCCAGCTGCTTGTTCTCCTGCTCCTTCTCCCTCAGCACCTTCTGCAGGTATGCCCTGTGCTTCAGCAGGTAGGGCACCAGGGCACTGCGGGCATCCTCCTCGGGGACCCCGCTGGGGCGCCTGGGGGCACAGGGGACAGGAGGCAGCCCCAGAGTGACAGCCCTGGGCACTCGGGGAGGGGGTCACCCCATCCCCCCCTGCCCCAGCAGCTCACCCACAGCAGGGTGCCCAGGGGGGTGCCCAGCCCAGTTTGGGATCTCCCCAGTTTGGAGACTCCACAGCCTCTCTGGGCAGCTGCTCCAGGCTCCACCCTCCCTCCAAAGAAGTTTCTCCTCCTGCTCAGGTGGCACCTCCTGGGTTCCAGTTGGTGCCCGTTGCCCCTTGTCCTGTCCCTGGGCACCACTGACCAGAGTCTGGCCCCAGCCTCTTGCCCCCCGGGGGCCCTTTAGCTCTTGCTCAGCACTGCTCAGATCCCCTCTGAGGCTTCTCTGCTCCAGCTCAGCAGCCCCAGGGCTCTCAGCCTGGCCTGGCACAGAGATGCTCCAGCCCCTCAGCATCTCCAGAGCCTCCTCTGGCCTCTCTCCAGCAGCTCCTTCCTGAAGCTCTGGTCAGCTGAGGCCCAGGGGCAGGCAGGGTGTAATTAACTTCCCCAAACACAGGAACAAGAAACCTCAGTGATGTTTTTGATCCAAGGACACTTCCTGCCCGCAGGCTGGACCAAAGACACCCCAGCACAGCTGCCAAGGGAGCCCTGTGGCCCGAGCAGCAGCAGTGGCTTTGAGCCACCAGCCTCCGGCACTGTTCAGGTGGAATTTCCCCCCCCTGTGGTCTCAGCAGCAGGAACCCCCCACAGCACTGGGGCAGCAGACACCTGACCCAGGGGCACCCAGGTAAATCCTCCCCTGGATGTTTCACACACAGTGAGGCTGCTGTTCACACACGAGGTTTAAAGAGTTCCCTGCAGGTCCCAGAGGTCCCACGGGGTCCACACATGCTGCCCACCCCCCAGTCCTTACCAGGCGGGGTCCTCCCGGCCCTGCGCCTCCGCCGAGAGCTGATCCAGGGAATTAAACAGCATCTCCAGGTTCCCTTCTTCCTTCACCTCCTGGATCTCCTCCTGTGCAGGAAGGACACCAGAGCAGTCAGCTGTGCCACTCGGGAGCCCTCGCTGCTCCCGGGATGAAGGTGACAGCCCAGGAAGCACCAGGGGTGGGATCAACACTCCTGGAGGTACTTAAAAAACATGTAGACGTGGTGCTGTAGGACAAGGTTCAGTGGAGACCTGGTTTGGGTGGGGAGGGACCTTCAA